TTAAAATTTTTACTGAAATTTTCCAATCTGGCCTTGTCCGGTGTTGTTTGATCTGATGTGATTTGTTTAAGTCTGATCTGATTTAGTTTGATCTGGTATGCACAGGTCTAGTCCAGTCTCATCTGGTAGATGTCTAGATCATGTGAATTTTTATAACTGTCAAAGTCTGCTATAGTTTGGTCTGATCTAATCCATTCTGCTCTGATCTATTATATTCTGGTTTGATATGATCTGGTGTTAGACTAAAATAAATCCAAGTAAAAATCTTCTTACTCAAAATGGTGTGCACCGCTGCACCCATGAGAAAGTAAGAAACGTATGTATAAGGGTAAATTGAATAGATAGCACCCATGGGTATTGGGTGAGCAACATTATTTTTTCATATTTTACTTTGAAAGATATGTTTACCCTTCTTGAGTAAACCATATACGTAATATTATTAGGGCTTACCAAACGATATCCTGACACTTATGTTTAGATTACTATTGACTATTACGTAGTACGAAGTACAAATTACGGGCTATATTAATAACCAATATTTTGCAAAAAAAAATCGTATTTCAAATCTATATGGTGCGGTTTTTTGGGAGATACAACTTTTTAGTCGTAATGAATTATAAGAGTATGAAATCGAATTCATTTCAGTGCTCTACATGTTGAATCTTTCAGGAGGGTCGGCCAATTGTCCTAACCCCCTTTGGCTCCACCCGTGCATATACATATATTATAAAATTTTGCTCTCTTTAGTATAGAGAATAAATCAAATGACTCACATACTAAATGATGGATTACCTCTCTTGACCGATCGACTATTACATTGTCTTGCATCCTAGATTCTTCTAACCTCCACCAATATCTGAATAATGGTGTGCTCATGTGTACAAGGTTTCGACCTTTAGATAGACAGTACTATATAATTGAAACAAAAAATGTGTGAATAAAGGAGAGCCATCTAAATATCTAATGGTTCCAAAGAATTGAATTTGTGGTACTGGCCACAAAGGTACGTACGAATAACATAGCATTATCTAACAAGTTAAAGTGTGGGCTTGTTTGTATATATGAAAAGCCAGATAATAATAACTCTCACTAGTATGTACATCCAGCTTATGAGTAGCAAATAATACTGTGAATGAAATTTGAATGATGGATCACTGATTGGGCGTGCTGGCATGTTAACTAGCTGAGGGCCAAACTTTGTGTAAATTTAGTTTGGCCATATCTGCGCCAGTACGTGCCACACGTTACATGTCGTCATGAATAATGTTCACCAATTAAGAATTTGATTGTTGAGACTAATGGCAAGTATTTTGTTAGGAATTATTTTGTGAATAGGCTATATTTATTACTCTTGGATTGAAATCTGATCTGGTTTAGTCTTATTTGGTTTGAATTGATTTCATCGGTTGGAGTGACTAAATTTAGTCTAGTTAGCTAGTTTGAGTGGATCAAAGTTTGTTGTAGTAAGTGAATTTTTATGATTCAAGAAATGTTTGATTAATCTTGTGTCATTGATCTGATATTATTTAGTCTTGTTTTAAAAGAATAGATAATTTAAAAGACTACTTTATGTTTTAACCAATTTAGTTATGTGACAAATTATAAGAGAATTTGTTTATACGAGCTCACCCTAGTATTTTTTATAACTTACATATTTTGGAATGCAATGTAAGAAACATACACTTAATTGTCAAACACCTCGTCATCGAAAGAATGACGGAAGAGCGTAGCTAGGTTTTGGGAGAACCGTTGTCAAAACACCTCTGCCATCACCGTTCACCCTTTCACTAGTCACAAAATCACAATCAACAAACATGTCCACAAAACAATTTATAGAATTGGTAAAATTGGTTATCGGGCTTTTGATGGTCTCAGAACTGAGGGAAAAATAACATTCAACAAGCAATGGGCAGCAAAAGTTTATACGAAAATAAACCCCACCCAATGATTCTTGGACCAGTTTTTCATAGTTTTAACTGTGAAACTACGTAATTTTAAGTTGTAGACTCACTTATGTCTTTCGGTTAATAACTGACAAGTAGTTCTTACTTTCTCTATTCAATTATTTTTTCAATTATAAATTGTAAGTAGTAGGGGTGAGCATATTAATTTGGTTTAACCTGACCAAACCGTACCAAACCGAATTGAAACCGGACCATATGCAATTTGGTTTTGAGTTTGGTAGCATTTCTTTCAACCCGTATTAAATTGAACGGAAACCGAGAAAACCCGAATAAAACCAATCAAACTAAATAAATTCAATAAAAATTTCACACGTTATTTAAAATAACAAATCCATATCAAATCGAACCAAATCAAATCAAACCAAAAAATAGTATGGTTTTTGTTTTGTAACAATTCTTCTAATCCGTTCCAAATTGGACCGAACCAAAATCGAGAAAAACTTAAATAAAAAAGCGTTATGTTCAATTGTTCACCCCTAGCAAGTAGAGTTTTATTTATGAATAGAATTGGTGAAAGAACGTCTATAGGATATAGGGTTCCATTGAAGGGTTAATTGCATGACTTTTATATAATTTATTTCAAATATTTCTTAAAGTGTTTAAATTATTTAATGGGTATCAATTAAATGACCATTACAATCATACTCACATATAGAATAATTTATCAAAAATCTAGACTTTCTAGAACACTTTCGCACACAAATTACCACTCCTTAAGAAATTAAGGCAATTAGGGAGTTATACACTCACTCATTTGACAAAATCTAGAGACATGTCGGCATGCCACATGAGAGACCATCTTTGTTCTCAGATGTCGAAATCATTATATCTTACGTTGCAACTAAAAAAAAGAGGATGACACCCCATCCCTGAGGGCCCCCCAACACCGACCGGACGGCACGATGGGAGGATGTATATTGGACTATAATCACAATCTGACAGATAGAGAGTGAGGCTCTGTCTCTGGTACTTGCAGAAGCCCTATGCATTTTTCAGCATAGTAACCCCTCATCACAGTTGCCGGGATTCGAACCCGAGACCTAACCCTTATGGCACTCTCTTGCTACCAGTTGAGCTACGCCCATTGGTATATCTTACATTGCAAGAGTGGTAAAAATCTAATATTTGTAGTTCTCAAATGAATAAACTTAATGTGATTGCCCTAAATTAGTTCCCAAAATTTGTACTCCCCGAAATCAATCAATGTACCCTTTCTATCATTCAATCATTGGAATTAGGGATGGGTTGAGCCCGGTCTGACCGGTCCGGTACCCAGCCCAAACAGGGCCGTCTAGACCAATTGTGAGGCCCTAGACAATCATATAGACGTTTTGTTTCTTAGTACATATAAATTTATAGAGCCGACAAACGATTTTATAATCAAGTCATTTGTTACTTTGTTCTTCTCTTTATACACCATGAATCAAGTTTTCGTTTTTCCGTCACCACAAAACCTACAATTCCATTCAAAATGATACTACCCACGTCCTACTAATATTGAGACATGAGAAGGATATGTGGTTATTAAAAAAGTGCGTTGATATGGCTGATATTGATAAAGTAAGAAAAAGTAAGAATGGGCTTAAAACCACATAAATTTTATCAAATTTGATTGAGAAAAGATTGGGCAATCTTAGGATGAAATTATAAATAATTAAGTAAATGCTTCGAAAATACAAATTTACTGCTCATCATAAATAAGATACTAAGATTATAAATATTCAATGTGTAATCAAACTCACATATCACAATTCAACTGCAAAAGAATTTTGCACACCCAAATGAGTAATTGAGTTGTTTGAGTAAATAAATAGATTTATGCATCGATGATTTATAATTGGTATTGCACTTACTGTAATACAATTGAATTCTTGTATACCTAGACCCTACTCCCTAGCCACAAACAATTGAAAAAAGAACTAAACAGCTAATGCTAAACGATGTACAATCTAACAAAAGTAATCCACTAAATGAAATGAACTAAATCAAATTGTTAGAAGAACTACAAGGCCTGAAGTTTAAAGGCCGAAGTGTTGAACTGCCATTTGTCGCTTGACATATGTGCGGTCTAATTGCAAAGTAATAATTAATTAATGGAAAAATAATTATTAATTTTCCTACTCCCCGCTTGCCAGATGCTACTCACCACCATTCCTACTCGTCTTGCATGTCCGACTTTTTCATACAGGAACTTATATTTAATTAGAAATCTGCAATTTAGATTAAATTAAATACACAATATATTAGTAATAGGATTGTTTTTAAAATTGGAGGCCCTTGAAATTTGGGGGCCCTAGACACTTGTCTAGGGAAAATGCCCCCATGGCCGGCCCTGAGCCCAAACCGCCACTGTGTGGTACTGGCCCGAGCCGGCTGGCCGGGACCAGGACTAGGGCACGACTCGGGGGTAGGGGGATGGCGGGCTACGAGATAGGATAATGGGCGACCGGCCCAGCCGGTCTGGGACTAGTAAGGGCCTTTTTTGGGCTTCGATCTTCAACTAGGTGGGTGGGGCTCGGTGGTTTGGGGGCCGGCGGGTAAGAATTAGTTTGAAAAGCTTTAAAAAAAATCGACGACCCGACCCAACCCAGGCCCGGAACCTACCCGGGCCGGTACCGGGCCTTCACTTCCCAAACCCAATCCCGCTCAAGGCCCGAACTGAACCCGGTTCATCACCAATTGGAATCAAACAATTTAATTTATTTTCACTACAACTAATTTTCCAAACCAGTATCACATTATTGTTTTTAATTTATAAAATTCGAATTGCTGGAAACCTGGAATAGCACTTAATCCCATTTATCCTGTGGAGACCATTCGTACTTAAGGTCATCAACTTTCAAATTTCAACCTCACGACTATGAATATCATGTCATTTTTGTTCTTTGGAGTTCCTTGACCGTCAAAACTCAACCAAAGATCAAACAAGTGGTTGAAAAGACCAAAATGGCATAAAAGTTTAGTCATAAATTGGAATTGGAGAAAAGAAAACCATTGGCCTTAGTCTAGAATGAATTAGTGACCTGTGACCTGTTAAATTAACATTTGGAACAAGAAACTACGTTTAGACCATGGCCGTTCCAAAGGGTGGAACTGGAACCTTATCTGCGTTAACTGGTTCTAGTTAGTAGTAGTTACGGAGCAAGTTCCAAAATCTGCTTTGTAGCCTTTAAAAACACGGAAAATTGAAATGGGAACCAATCAGTGACGTCCCACCTTGGAGGAACCGGAACCGCAACAAGTTCAGTTCATGTACGGAACTGTAAAAACCAGTTCAGTTCAGTTCGAGTTCCTTTATCTCACAGGTTCCAATCTGCTCCGGTTCCAGAATCAAGACAATGTTCAACCCTATAAAAAGCCAAGTGCAATTAATTATCTGGATCACTCTATTACAACATTTTATTTTAACAGAGTTTATGGACATTGCCAGAAAAAACACAACCCTCTTATTTTGTATTACATAGTATTATAATTATTATAATATCATGGGAGCTCTACACTAAAAATGGTGTCAAGCGAGGGTCGTCATGATATGGGAGGCCGGCTCGAGCGCCCAAGGATCTACAACCAATAGCAGCCTGCAAAGCCACCCCCACACATTAGAATTCCCGCATATAGCCTGCTGAAAAAAAAAAAACAAAGGATGAAATAGATGGAATGTACTAACCACTTGAGCAGCAAATGTCAACATCTTCTCTGGTGGCATATCAGCACAGATTGCTACAAAGTGGTTATGGAGAATTGTGATGAGTTTCTTGATCAGATAAATAACACAGTCTCTGCATGAACAAATAATTTCAGACGTACAGTAAAGGACTGCTCCAATGAATGCATCTCCAGCACCCGTAGTATCAACTAGTTCAAAAGATGGTATCTTCTCAGCTGTTCCAACAAGTAGTCTTCCGCTCATTGTTCCTATTCCCTTTGCTTGCAATTTTGCTGGGTGCTGTATATATATACAGATACATACATATATATATATATACACACACACACACACACATATACTTTACACATGTACAAGTTGAGAAAGAAAATAACACATATAATCACAGTGTTCAAATATTTGAAGGTGACTAGGTGAGGTGTCTAGATATTGAGGCGGTACTAAGTGCTTTGAAATTTTCAATTATACAAATGACCATCAATTGAGTCTTGAAGTGAAAAAATGATTCCTTGAATGGAAAAAAAAATACCGATGTGATGCATGTAGGTATGGTCACGTTCACATCCTTCTTTTCCATCATTCTTTCATACAAGTCATCTACATCTATTTCTTCAGATTGGGCAGACTCTGCATAATTTTCGGTAATATCTTAAGAAGATATATTAACAAGCAAGTAAAACCACCATAGTAATTTATACAGATGTTATATTTAATATAAAGAAGAAAGGCATATACAAATGTACCAGGTTCAGCCGCTTCTAGCATAATGCAACCCTCTTCTCCCAATGTCACAACAACAAATTTTACATTTGGCAATCTCAATAGCATGGAAACAAGTGCACTTGGAAGAGTAGGGGCATTGCTCCATGCCTGCAAAGACAAAAAAACAATTTATTTGTTCCGATAGGTAAGGGAATGCATAAGCTACAAAAAAAGTCAAGGGAAATTTGATGAAGCTAATATCTGGAGAGCTTGCCTGTGGAAACTCTGCTGAGCATACAACATAACTAGCAAACTTCAAAAGACCGTCAAGCCCCTCCCGGATCCTTTCTGCATCAATTAAAATTGGTATCCTCCTCCTACTAGCCTGCACTGAAATAGAAAAGAATACCCGCAACTTACTTCCATTTTGCCAATGGCATTCGTTCCTATCATAAAAACTGAAAAACTGATGTTAAGTTACCATATATGTTCATTCTGTAAATAAGAGAAAAAATCTCAGAATGCTACAAAACAAAATGACAAAGAGACTTGTAAAATATGGTGTAGTGCCATGTACGGATGTACCTCCTTTGCCACAACAAGAGCTGTTTCATGCAATCTTCCATCAAAATAGGCAACTCTAACTCCATCAATTGCAGACATCAAATTTGATTGGGACAGATCTTCTGGTATCATAGGCGGGTTTCCTGGAGTATGTATGCAAGTTTGAGTTTTCCTGAAGTTTAATGGATTTTTTAACACCACACATCAATATGTGCAAAGAAGGGGTTTTGACATAGATATGACTCAAGAAATAGCTAAATGGAAAATATATGACTACTTTTTAAAAGCTGCGACGAAGGGACTACATGTCAATTTTAATGTCATTGTGAGTGACAACACCAGTCATACGTGGCCATGCCACTGTGACCGGCAATGGAGAATTCAACAACTTTTTTGGAGAAATTGCTAACCAGCAATGGAAAAATTCGACTAAGCACAAAGAAGCAAAATAAAGTATGTAGTATGTACACAGTAAAATGGTAACATCTGTCGACGCAAATCACGCAATCCATATTAGCTTGACGCAATCCATATAAGCTTTGACGGATAACATATACTAGACTACTATGTTATGCATTTGATTAAGCTTATTTCTTGTGAACTTTAACAGAGCAAAAAGTGTTTGTTTCTAACTCAAAAGCACATCATGCAATCTCTTAAGAGCACAGAATAAGAGATTTTTTTTTGTTTCCACTGATAACCAAACACCGAATATTTTAACAAAAACATTACTCATACAATCTCTTAATTAATAAACTATGCTGCAATAAGTTTTCCTCATAAGCGGTGAACTGAATGAAAAATTCATAATATGCTTGTGAGCATTACAAGTTTTGAGTGCACATTATGGCCAATGCCTACATATGAAATACCATTGAAAAAGAAGTCAAGCACTCACGTTTGGTTGTCAACGATGACATAGGTGAATGGTGAATTGCCTCCGTCAGACACCTGAAATGCATCCGTGCATCATGGTTTTGCAGTGTCTTGATTTTTAAAGCCTTGAGCTATAATGTGGAACATCACTGTTTTTACTATTAGTTAGGAAGCTTACCACCATAAAGGATGTGTCAACACCATCCTCTTCCAGTTCATCCAATATTCCTTTTCCTTGTGAATCATTAGCAACCTATTCAATACGATCATAAGAAATGGTAAGCACTCAATACTATAGAAGGCACCGTAGTATGTGTCACGGAAGAACAACATCAAGAAGAAGAAGAGATCTTGCTGAGCCAACTTCTAGTACTACATTATTGAATTATAGTAACCTCCCATTGCTTTAAATAAAGTATCAGGAACCTAACATTGCAACATTTTTCTATTGGACCTAATATGCAATTCATTATAAGTTTATAACAACAATAATCCAGAGATGTAGGCAGTAGATCGACTTATTCCAAGTAATGGACAGATAAAGTACTCTACCAATAACTAATGGCTGCAATTATCAGTGTGGATAATAGGGCTAAAATCAGTGCGGATAATGCCCCCCATTAAAGATCACAAGTAGCAAAAACATCATGTTTGAAATAATAATTCGATGAACGTAAGAGTTAAGACCTTGGAAATAATCCTAGGATTGAGTCCTAGTCGAGCTGCGCAAGTCAAAGCATTCCCGGCATTTCCACCTCCTTGGACCTAGCAAACAACGCATAAGTTCAAATCTTATTCACAAATGAAAACACTACACAAGCACCGCTGTTTATCTAAGTATCAATAGCACCAACAATATATTACATGGCTCGTATACTAAACTAAAGGGCGATCAAAACCTCAAAGCTGGTGCTCCTAATTTTGTCGTCAGGCTTAGGATAAGAAGCCACCGCAGCCAAGAAGTCCACCAACGTACTTCCAACACCTAACTGCCGGATCACCAAAGATTTGAAATTTGTATATTTCTAAGGCAAAATAGAGAGAACAATAAACGATATCGGTTGGAAGAGCTTGAAAATGACGCACAACGATGCGGTCTTCGGGTAGAGAAGGAATAGAGATTTCCAGCTTGGGAAGTCTGTCACAGTTTTAAAAATTTAACAAGGTGTTCAGAAAGCTTGACAGCACAAACGACAACAACAAATCTAAGCTAGGCTAAGATAGGAGCCAAAAAAGAGAGTGAATAACCTCGCAGGAGAAAGACTGGAATTAGTTTTGGACGGCGAAAGGCTCGATGACTTCCGCCGTGACCCACCGGCAAGAGCGGTGGCGGATAGGTGATAATGTCCCCCAAACGTCTTCATTCTTCTGGTGATAGTTAGACCGGGGATATTGGTAATTTAGAATTTCGGATTTCAATTTTATCAAAATTGCACTTTTAATCCAGAAATAGTCACAAAAATGAAATCGCGGACCCATGCTTTTGATATCGTAAATATCACAATTCAAGTATTCAAATTGTTGTAAATGTGATCCTATAAAGGTGAAATATACTCTCGTAGTCTCGTCACATTGTATATTTTACCTCTCAAAAGATCACATTTACAGCATTTAAGATACTTGAGAGGCGACATTTATAAACTTGGAAATATGAGTCCTACATTTCATTTTCGAGACTATTTTAGGGACTAAATGTGCGATTTTTCTACCTAAAAAAGACCTTCTAGTATTGTAAAATATCACGTAAATCATCTTACTAAAAAACGGAATACATAAACATATTAACTCTCAAAAATAAAAATCTACAAATATCTTGTGGTCTGATGTATTACTATGGCAACCCCAAAGAAGAATTCACAGATTTGAATCTCATCCTAGTTCAAGGATATTAACATTAAGTAAATACTATCTGAAAGAATTGTCAAAAAAACCTCTCAAAAAAGATTCAAATCAGCCAAATTACCGGAACATCACCTTTTTTAACCGGCCATGTTGATTTCCTTTTTTTCTTTACTCTTCCTCACATTTACTCCAGCTCCCGCTTCTTCTTCACTCAGATCATTTGCAGATTTCTGTGTTTCATTCTTTTTTCTCTTTTTTTCTTTCTCCTTTTTCTCGTCGGTTGTTACCGCTTCTTCTTCTTCCAACATTTTTCACCGTTCTTATTAATTTTTCCTATTTTTCTTTTCTGCCCTTAGCTTCCTCGGGTCACCTGGTTGCCCAGCTCCCATGCCCCCTCTTACACTTCTTCTATTTTTCCTTCTTATTTCTATATTCCTCTTTTTCCTTTACTATGTACGGAGTACTTGTTTAGCCCCTTAGTGATTATTATTCACACAACTACGCAAAGCTGTAACTATTTGGAGTAGCTGATATGTAGCGCATGCAAGTCCATGGAAAGAATGGCAGTATCGCTAACACCCCTCATGTACGTATATATGGGTTACTACAGGACTCTCTCCCTTGCCCAAGCTAAAGTTTATTGTTCAGTAAAACTTTATATGCATGAGTTTATCACTCCTAGTTATGTAGGAATATTTTTGTTGACTTATTATAGCTCATATCAAAAGGTTTTATATTACGTAGGTAGCTAATTAATGTGCTCTGTAGCACTTGTATGATAGTCATTATTAACAAACACGCATACACACATGGACATGACACATATAGAATTATGTTCAAATAAAAACAAATGATCTTCAAAATGAGAACGAATCTAGATTGTTAGATTTTCCTTACGTGAAACTCAATGTGCATGAAATGAAAGTATAATGTGCATTAATTAGATGAAATTGAAATGTGCACCAAAAAGGGTACCGGATGCATGCAATTACAAGATGTAAAGTTGAATATTGTGAACTACGTGAAATTAAAATGTACACTAAGTGAAACTGAAATGTACCGAATAAAAAGTACAATGTGATGTCAGTTTTGTACCTTTTATTCCGCACATTTCAGTTTCACCTAATGCACATTTGAGTTTCTGTCACCAAATGCACAATTCAATTCCACATTATACAATCCAATGGTCCAGATTCATTCTTATTTCTCTCGTAGGAGTCCTTTCATATTGAAACCGCTCAGGAATGTGCGTGTGTGCGCGCGTGCGGGGGCAAAAGATCATGTCCATCTGGATGGACAGGAGGCGCCGTCAGGCTGCCGCCGTTTCGGGCCTTTCCAAGTGAAGTTTTTTATGAACGTTTTTTAGCATGTTCCACATCATATTTTTGGGGCCACCGCCGTTTTTGAGCATGATCCATTAGGGTAAATAGTGTAAATAGTGTCATTTTAAATGGCTGTGAACCACAAATTCTTTGTCAAAAAGGGAAAGATGAAATAATTTTAGGACGGACCAAAAAGGAAAGTATGAAGATAATTCTGAGACAGAGGGAGTAATATTTTTATTTTTCTTATATTGTACTACCTCCGTCCCGGTGGACTTCGCCAAGTGCAAAATAAGTGAGAAATAAGAATAGTAAAAACTGTGTGGTTGAGATTTGTGTTGAGGAGAGAGAAATGTGCAGAACCACAAATTAGTTGCTTTAATAGGAAAGTGACAAAGTTTTTTGGGACAACCAAAAAGGGGAAGTTGGCAAAGTCCAATAGGACGGAGGGAGTATTATCTTTTCTCAAATTATGAAGGGGTATAATTTTTCAATTTATGAATTTAATCGTGCATATATATATATATATATATATATATATATATATATATATATATATATATATATATATATATATATATATATATATATATATATATATATATATATATATAGGGGTTAGTTCCTGTGACCACACCCTCTTAGGAGAGTAAAAAAGAACAAAATCTAACCATCTAATATACTCGATCGACGATAGAGATTTAATACAAACAGAGGTGGCAATGTAGCAATTAGATGGAACTTTGCATGCAGTTCTAATGAAAAAAGAAACAGAATTAATGATAAGGGCAAAAGTGTAAAAGGTATCGCTATTAAATCGGACGATTGAATATCTTTCCTTAAAAATCTGATTCGCTTAACAATTTTAAGCGAATCATTTCATTTTTTGAGTTACCACTCGCACGTATCCTTTAAAGTTTCCTAATAGTTAGGAAAATTATTTCCATGATACCTATCATTTGAATAATTAAATTACTTTTCATATTTTTTTTTCATTTTTCATTCATATATACGGAGTAGATTTTAACTCTAGCATAGAATAAGTGCACTTTTATTCAAAAATCTATACAACATTATCTTAGATAAAATTTTGGAGTTTTTTACGATCAGTAATTTAAATAATAATCGACACCTATCATTAAAAATGTAAACTTTTGTAAACTGCACGTTTATGTTATTAAATTGCACTTTCTATAATACCTTCTTGCACTTTTTGCCTTCACCAATGCAATTTCATTCGATTTTTAGTGTATACCAAAGTGCACTATTATATTATTATTTTCTAAATTTGTACATTAGCACTATTTACAAAATAAAATGCACTCTACCACGAGCATTTACATGTACACAAAAGTGCACTATTATATCATAATTTATAAAGTGATATAAATTGTTATAAATGTATTATAACAGATATACAAAAAATGCACTTTACATGTATTATAAATTGTGCATTCTACATGTATACCAAAGTGCACTACTATATCTCAATTTATAACAAGTATACTATGTGCATTTAAGTATACATAAAAGTGCATTACAATATCACACTTTCTGAATTTTTACATGACACTTTTAACCCAAAATGAATGCACTTTAAACATGTGCATCTAAATATATATAGAAGTGCATTATTCTCTCATACTTTCAAAAATATTTGCATAGACATTATGGTGCAGTTATAATACTAAAAAGGTGCAACATATATAGTTGTGTTAGTGCAATTTTTAATAATATCTAGATCATACTCCAAAAAAAAAAAAAAATAATATCTAGATCATAAATAATATATGAAAATCCATTTAAACATAAACCCACAGATATATTGAAATATAAGGAGACGACATTATCAAGTTTTTTTTAACAAAATGTGAAAATGGACGTCTTCCTCGGTGACATGCACGGAACTTTTGAATAATGAAGTTAAGAAAGAATTAAATGGGATAAAGCAAACTATTTTGATTGAATAAAGTTAGGGAAAAGTAATTTGATAAAGAATTCTCATGAGAACCGTGAAGCAATTAACACTACTAGAAAAATTGATATTTGCTGCTACCTATTTGCTGCGGTTAAATAACGACCGCAGCAATTATAATCATATTTTACCTAATTGCGGCGGGTATACCGAAAACCGCAGCAATAAACGTAAAAATTATTCTAGCATTTGTTACGGGCGTTATTCAACCGCAGCACAAAAGGAATACAGAGGGTAGTACAGAGTATTTCATAAACTAATTTGATCCATAGTGCAACCCTATCCACACCACCCCTTTCAATCGGCTACCCACAGCCCCCTCCCAGCAGCCATCCCTACGGAAACTCGCATCCCCTCCCAACGGCAATCCGCGGCAGCCCCCTCCCAGCAGACAGCCATCGGCGCCCGCCTCCTAACAGCAAGACTCAGCAGCTGTTTCTACGAGTTTAAGTATCAAGCTGCAGCCGCCGGGCGACGTCGATTAGCCCCTGCAACTTCAGCCGCCACTCTTCCTATACGACGCTGCGGCTCCTTCCTTTTCGCTGTGCCTCCTTGGCTCTTCCGCCTCCTGCTTATGTCAGCCTCCTCTTCATTTATTAGAGGTTTATTTCTCAATTTTTACAATTTCAGTTTATTTGTTTAATTATTTAACATTCTATGAAATTATAATTTTTTTTATGAATTTATAAAATTAGAATTGATATATATGTGTGTGTGTGTGTGTCTCTGTGTGTGTATGTATGTAGCACTATATAAATTTGTTGAGTATTTTTTTGTAGTTATGATTTTTTAGTATCATTTCAATCTCGTTGCTATGATTTTTGCTATGAAATTTGCTTCCTTTATTACCCCTGAAATGCATGGTGTTTTTCATTGACATTGTTGTTTTTAGTCTTTTAACATCAATAATCAATTAAAGAGTATAACACATTTGAAAATTTAAAATGAAGGTTCTGATTTGCAATTTTTTTTTTGGCAGGAAAGAATTAGGATATAATCAATTGAAGGTACTTCATGAGGATAAACTTAGTTTGCATAGAAATATTATTTTCACTTCATGAGACAGGTTCTACAAGAAGGGAAGACTTAGCATTACCCTAGAGAACCTTATGAAGTAAAAGCCAAATATGGAAGAGTGATTCTGTCTCCTCCTACTCAGGGTGAACCATATTCCTCCACCTGTGATGAATTTGATGTTATCATGTAATCCTTGACAATTTCCCTTTAAG